ATCAAGTTTTTTAAATGTTTTACCATGAAAAGATTTTTTCAAAAATTAAAAAACATATTTTCTTAACGAGCTCGATGCGCTCTATCCAACGATGTATAATAGGTTTGAAAAAAGTTTTGCTGTAAGTTTGCATTAGACGCACTTATGTAGTTAGCTTGAGTGGATATTACTCTGTGGAGAGTAATAGTGAAGTTTATGTTCGTATGCTGTGATAAAATTAAGAACTTTACTTTTGAATGAATTTATCAAAAAAGGCGCTCAGGACTATTTTGTGAGACGTGCAAACTATTGGATTTACTTACAGGAACGGTCTTCATACTCCAGTATGAATTTCTATATAAGATCGAGTTACACCTTCTAAATATTTATCTAGTTATAAAGATAAATTACACAATAAAAAAAACATCCACTCTGACTGGTTAAACTGATCAAAAGTAATCAGTATAGCTAGGCGTTGTTATTATTATTATTATTTTCTCCAACTAAATGTAACATTCTAGTGAGCGATTATTGTTCAAGCATTTCTATTAACACCAAAACATCGTTCTCTCATTATTGTAAATGCACCATTTGCCCATCCGGAGTTAAATGCATCTACATCGTCTAATAAATCAATTTTTTCGATTTTTGGCTCAATTTTATGCAATAATTTTGTTAAATAATCTTGATCAACTGGAAACGGTGGACCTCGATGTTGATCATGCCAATAACATCCAAATAATAAATCATATCCTGAATTAGTACTAGAATTTGACGGTTTTTCCATTAATGATAATAATTTTATTAAATATCGTTCATGATCATCCCAATGTAAAGCAACGATAGCAGCACGATCCCAAATGTAATCTACTGGACCGCCAATCAGTTTTTGTGTCAAATCAATTTCGCAATTGGTCACCTTCAAAACGTATTCTAGTTCCACTAAGTGGTCAATCGGTTGATTTATTTTGGTTAGCTCAACAAGGTTTAAATGTCATCGGTATCGAAGGTAGTAATCGTGTAGTTCTTATTGAAATGTTAACAAGTATAATGTCGATCAGAGTCTATGCACTTTTAACAACTTATTGAAAGATGAATATATAATTAGATAGTAGAATCTAAGAATCGTAACCGGGAAGAATTTTCCAAGGTTCGGGCGTTGTGTCGAATTTTCTACAAGTCCAAAGACTGGCACCCGATGGCTATTGGTAGCCTTAAAAACTGATGGACTATGGGTAATCGACCATGCTGAGTTTCGTGGAAATATTTATTTTTAGAAAAAGTTTTAAAAATCTACCGAAAAGCCAGTTTTACGAAAATTAGGGTTTTCAGGCTGTTTTCACCTAATATTAAAAAATTCACTATTCACTTAAAAAACATCCAAACAAGCTCAAAAGTTCAGAATGTAGAGCATTTAAGCTATTCTATATCCTATTCATAGGAGATCTCAAAATAAATTTTTCAGAGCTCTTAGATTTTCCAAAAGGGTTTCTGGAAAACCTATTAACAAAAATATGCTTTTAGATCTTTTCGATCTTTTAATCACATTTGGCGGACAACATTGATCATATCCTGAGAATTTGAGCTTGTTCGGATGTTTTTTCTTTTTGTTTTGTTTTGTTGTCTTTTTGTGTTGTTTGATTTGTTTTTTCGTTTATCCAAGTCTCCTCTTTCGAATGGCGAAAACCGCAGGTCTTCATCTTGTTCGTATCAAAAGTTATTCAAAAAACAACCGAATGCCTTGACTTCTGGAGATAATAGTTTAAAATGAAAAAAAAAATTTAGATCTTGAGTTAAATAAAACTCAAAATTTTGTGAAGGATATATGCATATAGAAGTAAATCAACAATTTCTAATCGTTTAATATCAAAACGAATGGACAAGATGAACACAAATTAGAATCATAAAAAAGAGCTATAAATTATCAATAAGAAATCAATCAAACATGCGATATGTAAAAAAACTTGATCACAACATAGAGCAAGATTGGAAAATTGTACCGTTAACTTATCAGCTATTGTGTGACTACAACTCTTATACAGGAGATATTTTACCACTCGTAAAATATAAAAACTAATTACTTGTTATTTTCAGAGACTATGTCAAAGTCTTTTGCGCATCCTTTAGAATCCTGATGAACTTTTGAATTATCTTCGTTCAGGAGCAGGTATGAATCGAACCACACTACTCGACTACTGCGCCTCTATATTACTCACGAGGGTATGCGTTTTGAAATCAGTCTCTCTTTTGCAATATAGTCTTCTTTTGATCCGAAACAATGGCGGAAGATGCTTGATCTGTAGAATTATGTTCAATTTAAAGAAATAACTTTTGTTGTTTGTCGTGTGTCATAGTAGCATAAAGTCATGAAAATAAATAAAACCAACAGAAGTTGGGTATTGAATAGCTGAATAGCTGACACATTCTTCCTACAGCAAGAAAAACTCCGCAGGGAGATAGGCATCGTTATTTTTATCCTTTTTATTGATTTAAAAATACAGCAACAAATCTGCCAAGTACTTCGAGTATCGAGTAGTTCCGAGTATGACTCGAACTCACTGCATGCCTATTCAGGAGTTTTCTAGAAATCTCATTTTTCAATTGACTTTTCAATTGACAGTACTACCATTGTCTAAGTGGATCATTCTCTAGGGCTGTGACAGTTACCAGTTACTGTTACCACCCAAGCAAAACTAAGTAAGCGAGAAAATCTAGCTGCAGAAGTAGCTGCAGCGCCCACTTACAGCTAGATTAACTAGATTAAAAGGTACATTTATCTAGCTGCATGCTGGTTGAAATTGTGTACTAGCTGAAACGGCCACTGCATGGGCCAATTAATCGAGCAATGAATTGCCCGATTAATCGATAGCAACTAGTTGTACCCAATTGAAACTAGCTTCAATCTAGCTGAAGCTAGATAAATGTACCTTTTAATCTAGATGCAGCGCCCGCTTCATGATTTTTTTTCGTGCTTGGGCACCGTTACTCCGTAACTGTAACTGCTGAACAGTTGACGTTCTTGGTAACGGTAGGTATCCAGGTATCCAAAGTGAGGATAAAAGTTCGTAGCCTCACCCTCACCCTGGATACCTAGATATTTAGAGATTTGACTGTTGAAAGATATACTGAACCGTTACTGTTACTTGTAACTGGTCGTTATCGTTACTTGTACGGTAACTGCTTACCCGTTACCCTTACCAAGAACGTCAACTATTCAGCAGTTACAGTTACCGAGTAACGGTGGTAATAGTAACTGGTAACTATCACAGCCCTAGAGAATGATCCACTTAGACAATGGTAGTACGCAGAGGTTATTGTTAACAACGATAATTTCTCGTGGATGTATATTATAGTCCTTATGCTGGATTTCTCTCCAAAATGTGATTTTGAAATAGATGAAGTTTTGTTTTTTCGGTCAGGATGAGTAAAGAACCTCATGTGATTTTGAAATAGATGAAGTTTTGTTTTTTCGATCAAGATGAGTAAAGAACAAAAGAGATGAATGGATCTTTTTTATCAATTATAGAAGTAAGGCAGAAGTACGACTTGCAGAAACAAACATCTTAAAATAAGATGGATGAAAAGAAAAAGGGCGATACAGAAAGACGGATAACATAAGGCAAATCTTTTTAAAGTGCAAAATTGTATTGGACTTATATATTCAAACTAGAAATTATCGTACTTTTGAGTTTCTACAAAAGTATAGAATACTTTGTCATTAACTAAAGTCGAATTGCAACAATCAAATAATTGCTCTTATCTGTACTTTATTAAACGGTAAAATAACAAAAAATGCTTATAAAGCCTTAGTAACAATTCTCTTCTGCACATCTAAAAACTCAGTGCAATATATAAAATCTCCGTTGTGCTATTCTCGTAACATCCTGCTTCTTCTCTCACGTTTGAAATGTATTATCGACTAACTTACTGCAGTTTTGACGAGACTTGTGTAGAAGATTGATTAAGAGAAATCTTTCATCTGCATTAGTCCTAGACGGTTCTCTTCTAGTCTACCTTGACAAAGTATCTTATCTGGGGCTAGTATTAACTCCCAAGTTAGACTGGACTTGCCACATAGATTACATTTTTGTTAAGTGTTCCAAAATTATAGGTGGTATGAAATTGCTGAGTCATGTGATACCTCGAGAAGCCTTATGCTTAGTCTACAATGCCTTTGCTTCCTCCATAATTAATTATATCAGTGTCATTTATTTACACAAACTAATTTGAGACGCATATCTACCATCCAATATAATTCAGCCTTGGCAATTACTGATGGAATGAGACCCTCTTCAACCACAAAAACATTAGCTGTTCTTGGTTGAATTCCGATAGAAGAAACCTTCTTTATTCAGCGACTTTGCTTATTTCATAAAATTAAGTTTGGCAAAGTATCCCCTTCTCTTCAGTCTCTCATTCCAACTGATACTATATCATATGCCTATTCACTAAGAAGTAGAAGTACAGGTGCTCAACAAATTTCAGTTCAGCGCTGTGCATTGATGATATATGAAAACTCTTTCATCATAGCAACTTGTAAGTTGTAGAATCAGCTTTCTCCTGCACTTCGCTTGATAATAAATTACATGAGATTTAGACTCAAACTGATGGAACTTAAAAAAACTGAAGTATATGGTGAAATTAGACATTGTATACCTAGATGTGTGGACAGATCTAATGAACTTTACATCGCTCGTTTAAGAATTGGATTCTCTCACCTGAATGCTGACCTATTCAGATACACCCTTATTCTTGATCCATCATGCACATGCGTAGAAGATGAATTAGAAAATCATTGCTTTCTGATCTGTAGGAAATACCATAAAGCTCGAAAGAAACTGATGAGTACTATTAATTCCATTTTGGGCACACAAATTATTCTCTCTCTTCACTTTCTACTCTTTGGTTTAGGGATTTGTCTATTGAATTTGAAAAAAATAAAAGTATTTATAAGGCTATCGTTGATTTTATCAGAAAGTCTAACCGCTTTGGAGCATAATTGATGTTACTTCTCTTACGTGAAAATTCTTTATACCTCACTCACGCAATCGCCACAGAAAATCATTCTTATCTCTTTCTCATCCCTGAAATCTATATTGCTTCTATACTGTTTTCATCTGGTAAAACTTTATCATGTTGTTTTTTATTTTTTATTTTCCTCCTTGTCTCTTTCTCTCTCCCAGTGTCATACAATGGGCATAGCACGATTTGATTACTGTTTCTTTATAATAAAGTTTAAACCAAGATTGATTATATCAGACGTAATTCATGGTATAAGTTTTCAGTTGATATTCTATGTGTGTTGGAGTGTAATAGTCGAAAAAATGATCAAAGTAGGATTGTAGACGTGATTAGTGCAGAATTGACTAAAAAAACTTTTCTCATCCCTAAAAAGTTAGAAAATCATAAAAACATTTTCTCTTTGATTTGTTTATACTCAACAAAGACGATATTATCTTGAATATCTTCACTTGTGTCGTTAAAAATTGATGATAAATAATTTTCGATAATCGTATTGGATTTAACATAAAAAATAATCTAAATATTCATATCATTAGTTGTTGTTTTTTTGACGAGGTACAAATAATCGCTAATGTCGTCCAATTGAGCTATTTTGAAACGTCTCTCGCTAGTGTGTAGCTATGCTTATCTAACGAAATCAAATGAACTGAATCAAATACCACTTGGACGAGCGGAAAAAACTGAACAAAAAAAAAGAAAAAACATGACTCTTTTCTAAATGTTAAACTCAATTATGAAAAAGTTAAACTATAGAAAGTTTTCTTAAATTTAAAAAAAATAAATTTTTCTAGTAAAAATTAAAAACTAAACGTTACTATTAAGACAAAACGTATAACGTTTTATACAAGTCAAACATCAAATTTTTCATAAGAAGTAACGAAAATGGTTCGAATACATACCATACAGCACAGGATAAAGTTGTGTAAATGAAATATTACTTTACGAAAAAACTCCGTTTCGATTCTAATTATTATCAATGAAACTTCACTTCAATTTTTTTTCTTCTTTTAATTATCTTGTATATTGAAAACAAAACGAGTATTTCTATTTTCTGTGGGAACATCTGGTATAGATCAGTTGTTCATTAAACTGTTCTCTATGGAATCCATATTTTTTTCTTGTCATGAAAAATTCATTTCTCTCCGTTGGGATGTATAGAGTCCATTCTATTATATAAAGGATTTTTTTATTATTATTTTTAGATTATTCTTAAACTTTTAAAGTACACTGTGCATATACGATTGAAAGTAAAAGTCATTTTTTAGCAGAAATTTAGAAAAAGATAAAAACTACACCCATAAAACATTTATCCTCTATAATAAACTCAATGTCTATTTTATTTTTGTGTAGCAATAACAAATTTATTCATTAACTAAAAATTAATACTTGTTCATTACTAGGCATTAGTAGAACGATAAAAACAACAGGAGATTCACACAATGAAAAATATAAAAATGTTTACATTGTATTAAAATTAATTAATTAAAATAACACAGTAAATAACATGGTGATTAAAAAAAAAGAAATTAAAATCACAACAACAAAAATTCATATAAAAAACATGAAAACAAAATTGGACTGTTCTTAATATTATCAAAATAGATTCACTGTTTTTCTCATAATTAGATAAATGCCTGAGTACTGGAAGTTAACTGTTTTCATGTATAGATTACAATGATGTATTATCTTTGTCATCTTGTTCAGCACAAAAATTGGCCATATTTTGTTCTTCTTCTGCGGCCGCCAGTTTATTTGTATCTCGAACTGAATGTTCACGATTTTCACTAGATGGTGAGAATTTCTTATTTGTTTTTGTATTCTTTTTATATAAAATATTAACAACTGTTGTGGCAGCATAAAACATAATTGCAAGTAAAACACATGTTATCAGTAAAGTTGGAAAATGTTTTGGATTTGAATCTAATAATTTACCTAGAAAGAGAAATGAGTGTATGTTAGATATGTATTATCTTTATCGCTTATCTAAAATATTTACCAGCTAATTTTTGAAATAAAATACTTCCAAAGGCTGTTCCAGATAAAAATACGGCCAATAATGCTGGTATAACGTTTAATCGAGTATTTATGAAACCAAATGATAGTGGAAATATAGGTGAAAATACCAGACCCGTAAATGCACCAAGTACAAATAATGATGTGATGGATAAACGAATAATCCATACATAGATTATCCATAAAGTAGCTATACCTAGACCAGTTATCCACGCTACAGACAATGATATATGGGGTTCAATAAATACGGATGCAAATGCACATATCAATCGACCAAACGAATAGGATAACCAATAGATAATCATACCTAAACGAATGAACAGAATATTTGTAACAAATGGCGATTGGCGAAAAACACTTTTGTCGTTTAGGGTGGCGCTTTACTAGTTACTCGACGTTACTTTACCAGGTAAAGTAACGAAGTTAGTTGCTTCGTTACTACTATCCGTTCCAAAATACAAGAGCATCGGTTGCTTTTTGAATAGCTTTTGATAGGTAATAGATAGAGAGGTACGGTTTTCAGTTTTAGAAACTAGAGACCTGAGCCCGTGTTTCTGCA